AAACTGAAATATACTTACAAATCAGTGACACACTTTTCTGTATTTTGTAAACAATAATTTCAAGACACAATGCCATTGTACAGAATTTCATGAAATGTTTAAATTCTTGTTGGAAAAGGCTATGATTTACTATAGAGAAACAAATTACATAATATTCCACAGTATTAAGTGTATATACTCAAAACACAGAGGCACAGTTGTCACAATATTTCATTTTTGATATGGTTTTCTTGAGATAAATACAACGTATGTCAAATACATTGTCTGTTGCCATGACAATTCAAACACAGCTGTGGTACTTTAAACTATACATGTAACAATGGTGAAATTTGACAATACAAATATTTTTCAGCAATTTTAAAATTTTTGTTCACCTTTTTACCATCAGACATTCTCTCCTATATTCTTCAATATTTCTGCAAATGAACCCTAATTTTCGAGTCAACAGACAAGATTTGAGTCAATTTTTACTTAAAAAAATTGGCTATTTTTGTTCAAATCTTCTAAAGGACAACAGTGCAGACTATAAACGGGACTATTTTGTGATGAAAAGAGAAAACTGGTGATAAAAAGGTTAAATAGACTTTATATATACTGTTATAAAAAATGTAATATATCTGTTCATAGTAAACATAATCTCTTTGTTTAGCGAAGAGAGGTCAAAAGTGATTTGCTTTTTGTGTTTTAATTCTCATGCCTTCTAACACGTGTCTAAACTGCAAATGATAAATACTATGCAAACCATGGCAGTGAAAACCGGAGAAATTAATTCATTTTCTTCAATAAAAAAAACAAAAGAATCACATTTCTCTGACTGTAGGGCTGGTTTTTATCACATGAGAATAATCTGAACATCATATAATGCACACTTTAGATATTGCATAATTTACAAAATTAATTAATTTGAGACTTCTAAACTTGGTTACTTTTTAAATCATTCATTCATAATATTTTCCACACTTTATTTGATATATTTTTGACATACAATGTTTTCAAAATTATTTAAACATGGTCAGCAATTTTCTGATTTGGTCTTTGAAACATGAATGGATTTCATAAGATTGCAAACACTTGGGAACCAAATAAGACCCACATTTATTGGTCAGGCAGTGCCAGTGGCCAACGAATGGCTGGATGGATTTATGACAGAATCCAGTAATATCCTAACATAGAGGGCAGTGTATAAAAGTTTCTAAACCTACAGCTTCTCTATGGTGTGCACACCAATGACATGATCAGAATTTTATTTCCTGGATTCCAAAACGAATGCTGGTTTCCAACCCTGTATAGATACATCCCAAAATTTTGGAATTTGGTCTGAACCATTAAAATCGCATTAACATTGATGCACTCAAAAATCAATATATTCAACCAAAAAGTGCAGTGTTGCATCTATTACCATGGCAACCATTCACTTTATTTTCAGGAAACCAACCTGAAAGAAAGAAGACATAAATGGTGTTAGATTGTTGACTGATAAAAGTGTAACAATTTTACTGTATCAGTTACAGTATTGTTTTTTTTAGCAAGAGTTGTATTAATTTCAACTTTGTAGAAATAAAAGACAATGTTTTCATTTGTTTGAAGATATTGTAGGTGAAAGCTGATGTTATTTTTGCTGGATTCAATTCACATTGAGAATCACAATTTGTAACATGTGAAGATTATTCACTGATTTGTTATAAATTACATACAAACAATAAAAGTGAAGTGTTTTCACTGGATTCCAGTTTAATATACTAATTCACACCATGGAAAAAATAGATACAAGCCAAAATATTTTATTTATAGTATTTTAACTGAATAAATTGTATTGGATTGACATATTTAAATCATTCCCTACTTGCAAACAAGTAAAAAAAAATATATTTCTACTTGACTTTATTTTTGCTGATTTATCCATTTTAACTTTTCAACCCCAGTTTCCTCTCTTCATCACAAATTCACAAAATAGTTCCGTTTATAGTCTGCACTTTCCTCCAGAAGATTAGATGAAAAACAGCCAAATTGTTTGAGTATAAAAACTGCAAATTGACTCAAATTTTGTCTTCTGGCTCCAAAATTAGGGTTCATTTCCAGAAATATTATAGAATAAAGTGCAGAATAATTTAGGCATGGTGGCGAAAAGATTAAAACAATCATTTCTAGCAAACATTTTTTCAGTACACTGTTGTGATTGTATTCTTACATACCTGGAAATTGTTCTCTGTGTTTCTCATTGACTTTGGTAAATGCTGAGTGTTGTTGATGAGCAAGAGTAAAAGTTGATGACAAAGATATGATGGTAGATACAATCTGTGAACTGTGTTGTCTTTCTTCCACTGGTCAAGTACACTGAAAAAACAGATATATGTAACAGAAAAAAAAATATGTTGAGGCTGTATGCAAAGTGGTTTCAGAGAAAATATGTTGAGGTTATGTGCCAAGTGGTTTCAGAGAAATTATGTTAAGGCTATGTGCCAAGTGGTTTCAGAGAAAATATGTTGAGACTATGTGCAAAGCGGTTTCAGAGAAAATATGATGATGATGCTATAGGATTACCTTACAGCCAGGGTCACTATTGTGCTTATTTTTTACTATTCTAACTATAAAAAAACACTGTTTTCAACATTTAGTGTCACATGAATGACCTGTGAGGATTGCATCTTGGTTTTGCTATGACAAAACTACAGACATCTTACTGAAAATGCGTTATTTGGTTGTAGCTGGAAAACTAAGGCACCTAATAGCATTATCAATGTCCTGTGCAATTCACACGTCATTTGCGTGATTCAAAATGTTTCAATAGTTGAATAGTAAAAACGACACAATAGCGAAATTGGTCGTCAGGTATGCACTACCCTATTCATCTATATCTAATCTTTCAGATAATATGTTAGTTGTTATAATAGTAAGCTTAGTAACTTTTAGAAAATATCTGAATTACATTTACAATTAATTTTTAACACGTTTTACCCCTGTTGCTACCTTAATTTACTAAATAACAATAGAATATGCAAATAAGGGTCACACTAATTATGCAAATAACCTCATTTATATTCAAAATGCATCTTAACTACACATGACTCACCTTCTGTTTGCCTCATCCCAAACCGCCTGATAAAACAATTTAATAATACTGTATGTTTGTAAACTCTTCTTTACTCCAGTGCCATTTCTCTCATAGTTGATGGAACCCATGAGTTTGCTCAGCTCTGCGTGTTGACTGATAGAGTTGACATTCATCATAATTTTACTGTCCGTGTTCATCAGCCAAATCTGAAAAGAGGTGAAAAAAAAACTTACCAATCAAAATAACCACTATTCTTCAAGTATCTCAGGTGCTTACATTGTTACTCACAATAACTGATTTATATCTCATCTTAAGATCTCCTTAATAACTATTGTTTTGAATAATAATCACCTGTTAATTATTTTTTTAATGTATACTGTAAAATACTTTATTTTCGCTTAGAATTAATTTTCGCTATTTTAGCTCAAGGAATGATCCAGTGAAAATAAAATCCAGAGAATATATCTTTTTTCCTATATATTAACATTCAACTCATCAAAAATCAGGGAAAATAAATTCCATATAATAAATCTAAAAAGTCTTTTCAGCAAAAATTAATTCCAGCTGAAATGAAGTATTTTACAGTACTCAAAATATGGAAAGTCCAGTTTGCAGAAAAAGTGTCTGTCCAAAAAAAATAAAAAAAATAGCAGTTGCTGATCTGTAGAAATTTTGCCTGTCAAATGAAATTTTGTAGAAAGGTTGGCTGGCTAAAAGCAGGGTTCCAAAATGATCGCTTTTTAGATTATTTTTCATGTTTTCTTGAAAACACATCATTTTTTCTCCGTGAAAACTTTAAATATGAATGACGTGCATGTATGTGAAACATCACACAATGGATGATTTACTGTGATCAATTCTTTCCATGTTTAAATGATATTGAACTACCTTAACTCAATAACTTTCAATCACAACCTCAAAGTAAAAATAATTAAGCTAGCATTATCGACTTCCAACTCACAAAGATTTTTTGTTCTGTGCTCAAACACAGAAAAAAAAATCTTTGTGAGTTGGAAGTCGATAGGATGATCTGTTTGTTTTTATTTTTATTTTTATACTTTGCATATAATTCATCCTGCGTATATGTCATCCAGGGTGGATATATAGCACATGTAGTGTTTAAATATTTCAATAATAATCTTACACTCACCAGAATAGAGTTGTTGGTGGCAGTGTCCTGTCCCTCCAGAATGAACTTATAGCTGGTATTCACACTGGACTGTGTTGTAATGTATCGGGCAAAATAACTCTCTAGTGTATAGGACCTGAAATAACAATGAC